TATGGCAGTGAGTGGGGAGCGAAGGTTAGGGATTGGTTTGTGAAGCCCGATGGCAACAAAAGTGGACCCTCTTGGAGCGCTGCTCTCCATCGCCGAACCACCGCGAGTCCGTCCACCACTTTTGCCCCCTAGAGAATTTTCCTGAGAAATTATGCGTGTTATGTGAAAAAAAAAAGATTGATCGGAGAGAAAATGAGACATGGGCATTTGTTTCTTAAAACAATGAGATACAACAAACAATAATTACCTATACGCGAAGTCCCCGCAGATTTTCAGGTCCAGAAATCCCGGAAGAGGTGCGACAACTTTTTCAATGTATTTTTGCTTTCAGTCAGTGGTGGAGGTAGCGTGTGAAGGAAAACCAGAAAAGTACTTTTCACATCATAACATCAAATGGCAATAAGTGTAAAAAGACAACAAATTTAGGGGTTGTTATAACTATTGAACATATGACACGTGTCACCCATAGAAGCATTCAAAATGGGACACGTGTCAGCCATAGAAGTGGACTAACTTGTTTGTATAAGATATAAGAGAGATATTATTTTAGTACGACACTTGTTACTTGTGTGATTTACATGTGTTATATTATAATAATTTTTTAACTTATAACATATAACTACATTAAACATGAATATATTACTTGAGAAATAATTTTTTTCTAATTAATTTTTGATAAATATTTTTTTATTATTGTAAAGATAAATATAATTTATTTATTTTATATATACAATATGGATGTCAAATAGAAGATCATCAAAAGATGATTAATTTGATACATTATATATATATAAAACCGATAATAAATACAAAAGTTACCAACTTTTAAAACACATTACAATTCAATAGTTATAATAGCAAATGATATTAAAATACAATTAATACATCTAAAATGATCATAAATAAATCAACATATTTATGGTAATCCGAGCCTAATTAGTTTTGGATTGGAATTAAATAAAAATTTATCCAATCCAAAAAATAAAGCATGGATTTTGGACACATAAGATTTCGAAGCATGCGAGTCTGCTACTTAGACTCAGCACATTCGGGAATTATATATAGGAGAGATTATTTATTCCTTGTTAGATGTGTGAGTTTAGTAGATATTAGGATGTTTTATTATGTTAGCGTATTTATTCAATTAGCCGAGGTTAGTAGTTTAGTGGTTAGGTGTTACAGTCTTAGGTAATTCAATTATTGTCGTGAGTACTAGATAGGTTAGTAATGTTAGGATTATTTTATTATGCGTGAGCTTTAGGTTGTTAGGATACCAAGATTTTTTATTTCCCAGACGTAGATAACTATTATATTACTCAAAGGCGAACAATGTTCAAATACAAGAGTACAATACATCGACTTTTTTTTATCCAACATCAATCGAAATGAAATTACTCAATAAGAACGTCTTACAACTCGAGATCTAAATAGGCACAATAGTTGCCCTAACAAGCACACACGCGTATTAGGGCACCACAGAATGATGTTTACAAATCACCTTGAAGCGTCATCTTGCCTATAGAATTACAATCTCTATAAACTAGGAAATCAAAAGCAAAATCACAAGAACTAAAGGAATTACACAAAGATTTGAATGCCAAAGTCACATTGTCCAGTTGATCAACTTCTGCAGGTAGCTCATGGATCCATTTCACCATTTTCTTGCAATCCACAAAGCAAGTGATGCATTTTCATTCCTTCTTCTTATCATTTTTCATCACCCAACACAATCATGCAATGTAGGCCTCCATTGATTTTTTCTTGAAATCCCTAGATGCATCCCACAGTTACAAAAATCTTGTCTGACTTGAAGGCTTTCTCTCTCATCCCCAATCTTCCATTACTAAACCAACAGCTAACAACTAAATCCATGCTCTCCTCATATTCTCTCCCCACTCCCCTTCTGTAGCGCCCTATTCGAATATTGGATTTTTGTGATTTATTGGAGTTTATTATATGGATTTTTGTGATATTTTAGTTAATATAATATTGGATTAATTGCCTATATTGTATTATTGCCTGGATAATAGATATATTATTATACGAATATATATATATATATATATATATATATATATATTTGTTGTGTGATTATATATATTATTATTGGAGTGAATAA